GCAACCACCATATATACCTTGGCAAAGCACAATGAAGGAAAGAGGCAAGATGAGAAGAAAGATGGTTTAGCAGTTGGGAGCCTTGAGTTCAAGTCCATGCTTTTTTACAGACTTTCTGTGTAGCTTCAGAAAATCTGCATAGGCTTAGGCAAATCTAGGTTTTATTCCAGATTTTGAGCAAGTCACTTTAGTTCCCCATGCCCCCCAGCTGCATTCCCTGCCTCTGCAGTGCAACCTCACGGGAAGCACAATTCACCTCTTCAAGACAGCAGCTCTGTAGCACCAGCTGTAACTCTAGGGCAGCCCTAGCAGCTTGACTCCACCCCAGGTTGGCTGACTCCTTCTACCTTTGCATTGCCACCAGCTCGCTCAGGGCTCCCTCATGCTAAAGGCAGTCGTGAGCAACTTGCACCTGTTTCTAACGGACCTTTTGCTACTGGAGGCCCATAACCTGGCTTCTGGTAAAGTCAAAGTAATAACTGAGGCTCACAATCTCCTTGGAGAGAGAGACTCTTTAAAATCAATGCAAGTGGAAGAAAGTTCCTGTCTCACATGAAGGACGCATGTGGATGAAAGCTGTGATCCAAGGAAATCTCACCCTAAATGAGATTTAAAGACATAGTCAAGCAGAATCTCAAGTTACTTCATCTTCACGCTTCAACTGAAGATAAGCCAAATAGTCTCAAGCAGGGTAATGATCTAAATGTCGCTCATTTTCCAAATTACAAGACAACAAGCTTGCCTCCTTAATGCGCCTGCCTTTGATCTCAAGGAAAATGAAGCATTAGAAATAATACCGCATATAAGATTACACTGTATTTAACTTCAGATGTGAGCAAGTCCCAGGGAAGTCAGAGCACAATTAAGCCTGTTATATACCATCACCCCCTCTGCTACAGCTATTTCTGGCAGGTCTTTCAAGGGAAAACCTGCTGAGACACAAATGGAAAAATAAACCAGAGGGAGAAAGGGGCAGCAGATCCTGCCAGCGGTTCCAATGGTACAATCCCAACGCCACGACAGCCCATGGAAACAGCAGGTACATGACCTACCTGTGATGAATGAATAAGCTGCTAGGATGTTGCTCAGCAGTGCCATCTCCGTGCTAATGCCCGCAGGCTCCATGCTGCTGTTGAACACCAGCTCTTGTGTCTCATCCACGGGAAGCAGCACAGGGCTGTAGTCTGGTGGGTAGAAGGTAGCAGACCTCCCTCTCTTCTTCTCTGTTTTGGAATACAAAACAAATGAGGGCCAAATTCCCGTCCGTCCCAACGCTGCAGAATCTGCTTCTGTACTCCGAACCGAAAATGCCACCCAAGTTTGGCAGCTTACACCTTCTCAGTTAACTTTGCCAGACTCTGCACAGCAGCTGCTGTGCTTGCAACCAGGCAGCATCTCCTCTCCCATCTCCTTCTCTTCCGTGTCCCCAGTCCGACACACCCGCATGCTTTAGAGCAAATCTATAATCAAGTGGCTTTTTGCTTTTGTAAATCAAAGGAGCCTTTATCAATGCTGGGGACCCACTCAGCTTGTAACAACTCAGCACACAAGACACAGGCAGGCTCAGCAGCGCCCCGCTGTATCTCCCTGTAATCCTCGAGTGAGCTACACCTGGCAAACAGCGCTGCTTTCTCTCCAGCCTCCTTAAGGGAAGGGCGGATCATTGCCTGCATTTATGACTTCCTTCAAAAGCACACTCTCTTTGTGTTTCACCCAGACATAATTTCCCCTTCAGAGAGGTGAGTGAACATGGGTTAATCATTTGATTTTATTTGTTGAAGACTGGAGCTGAGAAGGTGGCTAATTCCAGGAGACTGAAAGAGACCCTTTCAGACCTTATCAGATCACTGTTGAGCACTCACTGTACCTTGATCTGCTGGCAGATGCCGCAGCCAATCGCAAAATACTCATTGTTTTAAACACATTAAAAAGTCAGCACATGGCATACAGGTCACATAAGCACATAGGGACGCTGCTACAACTTTTCAGATCCCTTTCCCCTGTGCATCTGGTCTTGGCAGAGAATAAACAGCGCACAGTTGCTGGCAATTGCATCTGGCTTCCACTTATCTGTAGGTATCAAGTTCAGGAAACGGACAATTCTAGCACACGAAAAATCATCTGAGCTACATAAGCAAAGGCACTTCCCACGCCAGGGCGCAGCACAGGAAAATCGGTATTTGTGTGCTGACACTGTATGGGTGTTTGCAGCCCTTACCCCCAAGGCAAATAGTTACATTGCACCACACGTGCATGGAAGCTGTACAGACCCCCTAGGCAATGATAGTAAGTTAAGTATCAGATTAAGGTAAAGTGATATTGGAAGGTGATGGAGCAAGTGGCAAACGTGTGTGTGGCGCTGTATCTTTATTGCACGGTTCGAGCATACAGTAAGGATGCTTTGGTTATGTCTAGGCAGCATGTGGGACTGGCTATCAGGGCTCTTAGGCTCTGTTCCAACTGCAACAGTGGAAAACTGTGGAGGCAAGGTGATGCCTTGAATCAGCTACCCTGTGACTGAGATGAATGTAGGAGACAAGGGAAGATGCAAGTACAGGATAACTTTCATTTTGCATTATTATCTCCATCACGGCAGGCTCTAGGAACTCGAGTCCAGGAACAAGCCCCTGTTGTTGTTTCAGCCACGGTTCACACAAGTAACAAAGCCCACCCTTGTCCCAGAGAATGTGCCGTCTACCAGAGTGCAACAGGTAGAAAACTGGCAAGCCGGGTGACAGGCGGGTTGGAAGATGAGGCAATGAACTCAAGGGAGTTTAAGAGAACAATGGAAGCCACAGCTCACCACTTGCCTCGCCAGTGCCCGCTGATGATAATTTTCAGGAATCAGAGCAGAGGTCGAGAGTTAAAGATGGATTTAAAGAAGACAAAGGTCTTCCAGAGAAAGTGTAGAAGTGTTTCAGGGGTCTCCTCCCTTGTGTGATGTGTTGTGTTTTTAGTTAAGGGGGCGAGGGTTTCTCTAGGGACACAGGATCCGGCACTGGAAGAGGCCCCCCCAGGCCATAAAGTCTCAGTCCCCTGTATTTATAGGCAACCATTAAAAAATACCCGACAAAAAAAATAAAGAAAAACTCACACACTCCAGGCCCTTTCACATACTGCAGCCCCAGAACATCTTCTAAAAAGACCTAAGCCATGCCAGAGGCAAAAAGCAAAGACAGATGCCACCAAGGCTTTGGCCACAGAACAGGGAAAGAATCCATTAAGCTGAAGTACATGGGTTGTGTCACACATGCAACTTAATATTTACTACATGCTGTTAAAACTTGAGGAAATATATATTAAAGCAGTTTAGCATGTGTTAAGTGTTATTGTGGCATTGCAAAGTTGTTCCCTTTCGAGTGAAGACTATCTAACAAACTAACTTTAATATGCAATAATTTTAATAGGTCATGACATCTCAGTGGTTTGCAACTACTGCAAGCAAATATGTGACTACCCCCCTTAGGTGCTCATGGGAAGAGCACCACAACCTGATCCTACAAAGGAGGGCAAGCATCCCAACAGCCCTTAGCAACTCATCTGGAGGAAAGCCAATGTGGTGCCCATCATCAAGAAAGAGAGGAAAGTAAATCCAGGGAACTACAGGCCAATCAGCTTGACCTCAATCCCTGGAAAGATTCTGGAAAAAGTCAGACCATTCTTGACAAGCTGGCTGATGGCAACATCCTGAGGGACAGCCAGCATGGGTTTGTTGCGGGTAGGTCTTGCCTGACCAATCTCATCTCCTTCTATGACCAGGTGACTTATCACCTGGACAAGGGAGAAGAGATTGACATCATATATCTGGACTTTAAAAAAGCCTTTGATCTGGTGTCCCACAATCTCCTCTTGGAAAAATTGGCCAACTGTGGCCCTGGCTACATCACAGTCCAATGGCTGAGAAACTGACTCCGAGACCCAACTCAGAGAGTGGTGGTCAATGGAAGCAAATCATCATGGGGCTCCGTGACCAGTGGTGTCCCCCACAGCTCCGTCCTTGGACCTGTTCTTTTTAACGTCTTTATCAATGATGTAGATACTGGTGTCAAAAGTGGACTGGCCAAGTTTGCCAGTGGCACCAAAGTTTGGGGTAGAGCATCCACACCTGAGGATAGGCTGGTGATCCAGGCTGACTTGGATAGGCTCAAAAAGTGGGCAGATACAAACCTGATGATATTCAATACCAACAAATGTAAGGTACTCCACCTTGGGGGAAAAAACACAGCACACTTACAGGCTCGGCACTGCTACATTCACTAGCAACATGGCCGAAAAAGACTTGGGGGTCATAACTGACCACAAGATGAACATGAGCCACCAATGTGATATCACAGCTGGTAAAGCAAACCAAACTCTGGCTTGCATCCATAGATGCTTCTCAAATAAATCGAAGGATGTCATCCTCCTGAGGCTGTACTCAGCCTTGGTGAGGCCACAGCTGGAGTACTGCATCTAGTTTTGGGCTCCACAATTCAAGAAGGATGTGGAGAAACTTGAGCGAGTCCAGAGGAGAGCCACGCAAATCATCAGAGGGCAAGAGAACAGGCCTTATGAAGAGAGGCTGAGAGCCACGGGACTCTTCAGCCTGGAGAAATGCAGGCCCAGGGCTGACTTGGTGGCAGCCTATAAGTACATCAGGGCTGTGCATCAGGATCTGGGGAAATGCCTATTCACCAGAGCACCCCAAAGGATGACAAGGTCCAACAGTCACAAACTCATCTAAGACCGTTTTAGGCTGGACATAAGGAAAAACTTCTTTACTGCCTGAGCCCCCAAGGCCTGGAATAGGCTCCATCCAGAGGCGGTGCAAGCACTTACTCTGGACTCCTTTAAGAAGCATTTGGACGCTTATCTGGCTGGGATCCTTTGACCCTAGCTGACTTCCAGCCCTTGGGACAGGGGGCTGGACTCGATGATCTCCTGAGGTCCCTTCCAGCCCTATGGCTATAAAATCTATGAAAAGTCTTTCCTGACTGCTCATCAGGTGGCCTCTTTGGCTCTGTACATGAACAAGACCCATCAGGCACCCAAGAGGTTTCCAGGTACTGTTTGGAGCAGCAGGGCACGCAAGCCAATCTCCAGCTCCAACCATAACTAATGTTCAGGGCTTCAGAGGCAGGTGGAAAAAATCCCTAACACCAAACAATGCCTTTATAGAAAAAGCAGAAGGCCTAAAGCATGCCATCACTGGACACTTCCCATACATGCAGCAACCCATACAAACATCAAGTTTCCTTTCAGTCCCTTTAGAGGATTACCAAACACTCAAAGCCACCTATCACATGCTCTACTTCCTAGTCCAGGAGCATGTCAGTCCTACCACACTATCCCTTCCCAAACTTAAAAAGCTCCATTCCAAAGCAATCCCATTTCCTCACCTCCACCACTTTGCTCTGATGACCATTCCAAAACTTTACAAGTTTTAAGCTTAGTTTCCAGTCTAAATCTCTTAATGGCCAGTGTGTACTCATTCAATCTTGGGTCAACATTGGCCTTCAGCTTTAATAGCCCTCCTCCCTTCCTAGCATTCACCCCACCAATGTATTTATACAGAGTGAATATATCCCCTCTCCACCTTCAGTTTTTCTAAGCTACACAAGCCAAATTCCTTTAATCTTCTCTCCTAAATGCAGCAGCACATTCTAGCCTATGAGAAGGTTCTTCCCATAGCCAAGGCTCTCACACGGTGATTAGTAAACCACTGGCAGGCATATGGGATGGGCAGAACACAATTAGACACCACAAGTTGGTAACTGAGCACTAATCCTTCTGCCTGGGGATATGACATGCTGTTTGCCATGTGTTCTCTGCCCTTTCCCTCCATCCTTTCCCCACTTATGGAGGTAAAGGCTCTGTGTTCAAGCTCAAACACTGTAATCCCAGAGGTTTAGTCTTCAGCGATAACTAAACTGATGGGCACAAGCTATGCCAACAGCTAATCATACCACTAATCAGCTATGAGATATAGCAGGGAGCAGAACCATCACATGCTGTGTACCAATCACCTCCGTCTGTATTCTGTAGGAATTGTACTTGATGCAAGTGGAGCAGATGGCATCGCTGATTGAGCTGACAAATAGGATCCTCCCATTTCATTTCCAAAATGAAAACTTCTTCGGCAATCCCTTGCAGCCGAAGATGACTGTCTTTCATGATTGTCTCTACCCCACTATTGAATCCAGTTTCCCAGCAGCTCAGAACTCATGACAACATTGGGAGATATTCTGGATGGCTAATGAATGCATTTGGCAGCCTCTGGGCCCTATCCTTTGAGCAGAGTAGTTGCCTCACCGCATTGTGGTGCTTCCCTGCACCCACACAACATGGTCATTCTATGATATATCATGATAGGAATTTGCTCTTCCTCTGACAATAATTGAGGATTGCTTTGCCTCAGAACTAGGGTTGCTCTATCAGGAGCAGTGCCAATTAAACTTCCTAATGATATAAATGAATGACAGCAGCTCAGGTCTTCTAACTTGTGATTTGGAGGTGGGGGCAGTATTAGGTGGCTGCAACCTCTGTAACCACTCCCTTCTCCCTAAGTTTTCCTTCCATCTATAGCTCCCCTCCATCATCAACTCCCCTACTTCATCTCCTACATTTTCACAATGTTCATAATTGGAATTGGCTGGATCTCACTAGGACCAAGACTCCCCTTGCTAGGGCTCCTCCAACTTGTGTGCTGTGTATGAGATTGGCCGGCAAAAGCCCAGAAGAGATATGGATTTGCTGGGCTCCATCCACTCTGCACAAACAACACAACACAATGCAAGTGCCTTGTTGGATGGGGAATGAAGAACAAGCTCCTCAGTGGAATTGTAAGAGGAATTTCACATTTCTTTCTCCCCTGCTCTGAGAAAAAGAAAGATAGGTCTTAAAAAAATCAACCAAGTTCCTAAATGAATGGTTATCAGAGTACTCTGCACTCCAGCAATGAGCACCCTCAAGTAACAGAACGGGTTGTCTAATCTGTCAGACAGTACAGTCATAGATGGTTAAGGCAGAAAAAGCCACTGTGGTTATAACAGAGGGGAGAAAAATCTATCCTTCTGCAACAAAAACACACCTTGAAACAGCCATTGGCTGCTATACAGTATCTTCAAACCTCTCCACAAGCTTGCCATTCATTTGATTCTGGTTCACTTATTCCCATGCCTACCCTAGAGATTGTGTCTTTCTCAAATCCATTTGTCTATCAGTAGCAGCCTTTCATCCCCGCTGCCTCCTCCTTTGTAGCACCATATTTTTTGAAACAGGCCTGCTTGATTTTTGCAGACAGGTGGCTAGCCCATATTAATTTAAAATCAGGGCAAGGTGCCACCTTAGAGACAAACTGGTTGAGAGAGACATGAACATTTGCAGGCAACAACCAACTTCAGTGAGTATCTGATGAAGTGGGTTGTTGTCTATGAAAGCCATGGCTCTCGCATCCAGTTAGTCTTAAGGTGCCGCTCTGCCCTGTCTTTTGCCTTTATTACCAGAGTTAGACAACATTTTTTTCAGGAGATTCACTGGAAAATGCAGTTTCAACATGAGCAGAACTATTTGTGAATATGGATCAAATCTGATAAATCATTTGGCTGAAGTAAAAGGAAACAACTGTCCAGAAAGTCCAAACATTTCTTGTTGACATCTGCAAAATGCAACATTTTGACTTTTACGTCAATTTTTTCTGAGAATTCACCTAACTTTTAACAAAGAATTAAAAACAGAACGCCAAACAAAATGATTCACTGTAGGTAGAAGTAGAATGTATTTTGGATCACCTAAAATACGTTTTTCTTGAGTTTTTTTGTTTCATTAGGTCAATCTAAAAGGACGTTTTTTTTCAATTTTTCAGTTCCGTCACTGAACCAAAATAAATCCATTCTCCACGCATCTCTGCTTGGCCCCTCACAGAACTTGTACCCCATTTCCAAGCTCAGTTAGAAACTTATCTCTTCTCACTTGCATGAACCTCTTACTTTCTCATTCTTTCCTTATCTCTGCAATTGTATCAGATAAATGTGAAAGCATCTTGGGATATAGGTATATGCACATTGCCATAACTTTAATCTCACTGCCGAAGTAAATGGGAACTCTGTCCTTAACTTTAAGAGTAATAAGATCAGACCTTAAAGTTGTGCAGAAATGGTTGTACTTTGCTGACTTACACAGACTATGCCATTACCTGTCTAATGAACTCATTCACCCACAAAATCAGGAGCTCCTTACTTGTGTTATGACACAACAACAGTGACTCCAATGCTGAGAACAGGGTGGGGCATCTGACCAACACAAATACCTGAATAAGGATTCTCTTATTTCACATTCATTAATAAGGACTCTTAGCATTGTTATCACTACAATAACATTTGGGTCAGTGTTGTAATAGCCATAGCTACCTGGCAGAGTGCTCTTTATAATGGGAGAAGAAGCATCGGAAAAGAACACACCGTCCCCTATAACGTTAGGATCATGCACTCTTGGCTGCTGTGGAAAATGCGGTTGCTGAATTCCTCGGTGGTGGGTTTGTTTTGGCTGGGTTTCATGCAGAAGCTTCTTGGGAACTGAAAGGGAAGCAGAAGTGAAACACAATTGTTAGGATGGGTTATTCCAGCTGGTAATAAACTGAGTTATTGCGTTATGCTACAGACGCAACCGGTAATTATACTGTAAGCAGACCAGAGAGACACTCATTTATCACCATAATGTGTGCGCTCTAAATGCCTAAGCAGAGAGATCTGAGATCAGGATACAAGGTGCTCTGAACTCATTAAGATCTCACCTTAATTATAATGAACATATTCAGTCTCAAGATTTGTCTCAGTGTTTAGATGGGGAAAAAAAGATCTTTGGGGTGGCAAGTCCCTTGATATCTTGACATCTCTTGGCATCTATAAATAAAAAGGATGTATTGTATTTCTGTGTCTTCCACATTGCAATGATACTGTTCAGGTCAATGCTTGTCACTGAAGTTGAGACACACAGCTCCTTGGGAGGGAGGTGAATGACAGTGAGGCTAGGGACAGGCATTACACATAAACCAGTTTAAGTGATCAGAAACTGGTTTAAACCTGTAACAGAACAGACATTCAGTGCACATAAACCAGTTTCAAAATGGCCCAAACTGGTTTGAGATAAACCTGGTTGAATGTAGTATCAGACTTAACTGATTTGGCTCAAACTAGTTTATGCAATGTCTGTCCCAGACTCCTTGCTGGTTTAAGATAAACCAGAGACCTCCAGCATTCCAGCATGCTCTCTGAGCTGGGTGGGGCTCTCTGCTCCACAGCAGGGCTGGCCCCTCCCCTCTGCTCTCTAGCTAAGGAGCTCAGCCCCACACAGCCTGCCCAGCCACGTCTATCCCTGCAGCTCTGTGCCACGCCTGCAACTCGCTCTCTGATGGAGAAGCCCCTGCTGGACTCTGTGGGGAAGCAGGGGCAGGGCTCCCTCCACTCCCAGCAGAGTGCCAGTGCAGGACTGCACAGTGGGGAGTGGGGGAAGCGCCTGCCTCCAGCACTGAAGCTGCAAGCTCAGGCTGAGGCTCAGAGCCCCGGTGGGGGATAAGGCAGGCTCCACTCTCTCCCCCAGTGCAGTGCTGGCTGGAACAGCACCTGCGCTGGACACGAGCACCCTGACCTCCCACCTGCTGCTGTTGCCAAGCAGCAGGGGCTGAAGTCCTGGCTGTGTATGCAGCCATGGGGGGAGTGGCGGGGGTCCCTACATCCACCACCCGCACACCCCACCCTGCCCAGCTGAGCTCTGCACTCCCACTGCCCCTCTGCGGGGAAGAGGAGGAGGGGAAAGAGATCCCCCCAGCATGGAACAGAGCCTCCCCCTGCCCTGGAGGGAAGAATGGGGGGAAGAATCCCCCTCTGGGGCTGGGCAGACTCACAGAGTCCCCCTCCCCACCCCATGGTGCCAGAAGGGGAGGAGGAGGGAGAAGAACCCCCCAGCACCGAACAGGGCCCCCTTCCTGGCCCCGTGGTGGTAGGGGAGAGGGAGGAGGGGGAAGAGTTCCCCTCTGGGGCTGGGGAGCCCTGTGTGCCCGGATTGCTCCTGGGTGTCAGGGAGCCACTGGGGCCTGCCAGGCTCCCCCTCCTCAGCTCAGCTTCCCCGAGGAAGGGAAGGGAGGGCTGCTCTAGCACCCCAGGGCTTCTATCTTGAATCACTGCAGCCATGTGCCATGTCTATCCACTTGCAAAGCGGTTCACTCTCTGCAGGTTAGACTAACCTGCAAAGACTGAATCAATTCAGGCTCGGGCTTTTTGAATGTCTGTCCCTGAGAGAGACACTGCCGATTTTTTTTTGTTTTTAAATGGGAACCATTCATTGGTTCAATTACAAACCAAACAGTGCTCAGTGCAATGATTCCAGCTGTTGGAGACCTAACCAAGCAAGCTTTAAATCACCTAGCTCAGGGGATTCAACTTACTAGTGGTGGAGCTGCCATAGCTGTACAGCCTGCAAAATCAGTCCAAGCAGCTGCATGAGCATTTGATGGGTTCGCCCCATGCTATGCACAGTGCTTTACTGCTAGTAACACTTGAGTTACATCGTTTAAAGCTAGGTACAGTATCAGCAGCGGTGACTCCAAAACAATCATCTCTTCAGTTTCCTGCTTTAGGCCAAGACAAATCATATCAACACCACAGTATTCACCTCTTACACTTATTGGGACAGATCCTCTGCCCTAAGTCAGCGCAGCCTCGAAGTCAGAGGCGCTATCTTGTTTTATGCCAGCTGAAGGTGTGAAACCACAGTAAACTGACTTTTGCCACATAAACCTTAGCATGCCAGCTCATTTAGCCTGGCTTTCTGTCTCCAGTACCAGCCACCATATACATTGCTCCAGAGGATAACACGCTTTGATAGGAAGAGAGCAGCCAAATACTTTTGGTCAGAAGATCTGATCTTAGGGTAAGAGAATAACAAAATGTGAACAGACAAAGTCTCCATCAGAAAGCACAATGCCTCTGTTGTCTTCGTGATGCTACGCATGAAAATTAAGACAAAATGGCCATTTTGGCTGCGCTTCCTGAGGAGGAGGCACGTGGAAGAAGACTTGGCAGAGTGTGAAACTTTAAATGAGGAGGACAACTCCCTCCTGACCCGTGGAGGCCATCAGCTAACACCCTGAAGCATGAGATCTGATTGCCCTGGTCATTATTTAACTTGCCCAGCTACAAATATTAAGGGTCAAGAAGTGATCCAGGCCTCTTGGCTGACCCTGTATTTTACTTACAGTCTGCTGAGGCTGAATATTCAAACTATATTTACTGACTCCCCTTCAAGGCTTGGCTGTCAAGACATCAGCACTACAATTCCAGCCTTATTAGACTTGTACCAGGTCAGGAAACAGACTTTTTAAAGAAAATAGCTTCTGAATAGGAACAGACTGGCACAGTCATTTCTCAAGAAACCTGAATTGGCAAGAGTTCTCTGAGGGGAATTCAGCAAAGGAAGTATATGGCCTGATGGCAGCTAAACAGAAGCCAGAGGAATATCAAATACTGGAGTGGGAACAAAGTCCAGGATGTGTGTTGGTTTAAAGATGTTCTCCCCAACACACACACAGACTGTCAAAATGCATCTAGTGCCAAATCTAACACATCTTAAATGAGGAAGCTCGTTTGGGCTCACAAACGTACATTCTGCATATATCTCCGATTTAGTTATTCTGCAAGGTACATATCTACCCTGCTTTCTACATGTTAAACGAGACATTTCCAGATGATAACAACTCAGCAGCCTCTGACAATCACGGACCCCCTGCTCCATCTCGCATCAAGGACTTTAATGCAAAGGCATCAAAATCTCTACCACAGTTACTCTCTGCAATGCATGAGATAGTTGCACAACTCTTAACTCTAATAAATAAAAGTTAGGAGCTTTCTTCTGGAGGGAGCAGAGTCTCACTGAAGCAGCCAACAACTGATCAATAATCTCTCCAGGGAAGCTGGGGGGCCCTATTACTTCAAGCTGATTATCTGCCTACAGTAGATGGCCCCCTTCCCCACAGTAGCTGAGTGCCTTACAGTCTGTAAGACATTCAGAAAACTAGAACTCTTGGTTCCAAAACGATCCCTTTTATTAGACCAACTGGGAAAGTGCAAGAAAATTGTCCTTGCCATTTCCCAGTTGATTTAATAAAAGGGATTGTTTTGGAACCAAGAGTTCTAGTTTTTCTATGTCTTCTTGTCTCAGACCAACACGGCTACCAAGTACACCCGTTACAGTCCGTAATGTATTTATCCTCTCATCACCCCTGCAAGGTAGGAAGAGGGTCTTATCTCCTTGCTACAGCTAAGGAAGAGAGCAGCTAGGAGACTAACAGCCAGATTGCCAAAGGCGTTCAGGTATTTAAAGATAAGTAAGTGCCAAGCGGGATTTTCAAAAGCACCCAGACACTTAATGCCCACTGATTTTCAATGTGAACTGGACATTCGGAGGCTTTGAAAATCCCATGACGTGCTTATCTGCATCTTTATACTTTTAAAATTCTGGCCAGGACCTGCCCAGTCCCGTAAAGGAAATCTGTGATGGAGCCAGGACTCAAACACAGGTTAACAACCAAATTAATCACTGGGCCATATTTCTTCTAGTGCTCTTAGGAAACGGCCTTTGCTGGAAAAGGCTGGACCTGGTGACTTAATATGCAACATCTACTCTTATTCTAATTGATCTGCTACTCAGATAACATCCTGACAAACAGCAGAGAGAGCCTGAGCTTCAAAGAAAATAAAAGTGAAAGGCCCACATAAGTGCAGTCTCCAAGCGATTTCCAGTTGGTTCCTGTATTTCAGCCAACTGTGCAAGAAAAATTAAAACATCTGGTGCCTTTGAAACCCATCCTGCAGTTCTCACAAGAGGGGGAAGAGCTAACTTGACCATGGGAGCTGTAAGAAATATATTCTGAACATGTCATTGAAAGTGCCTCCGACGTTACACTTATCATTATTTGCGGTACGGGTCCTAAAAACACATAGCATGTGCTACGTTTGAGAAGTTCAGTCCACCAGTAGGACAAGCAGGCCAGCCAACAAAACAAGCAGAATAAGCTTTATATACTGGGAAGATCAGGAGAGAAAATGTGATACCAAGTCAAAGATGGAAATATTTTGGTACCAGTGGGCCCTATGCACAAAACCCCCGGGAAAAACTGAGTGGCTCGGTGAGAGAGGAGTCTGTAGGTTTATGGGCCTGGGAACAGGAGTCAGATTTGTCCTGTTAGTCTGTTTGTTTCTATATATGGTGCCCAACAGCCTCCTTATCTGAGCACCACCCCCAAATTATGGGAGTGTGCACCCAAAACATCTGGGGTGACCCTGCAAAGGGGCTTGAAGATAAAGATCAAACCTCATATGGGAACACCAGCTAGAGAGGTGGAAGGCACCCCTGAGTTATCGAGCGCAGTCCCTGGCCCGCCTGCCCAATTATCTCATCTTCATTTTCCCAGCACACGGCCACTGGGCGATGGGAAGAAAGCACCCGGAGAGTTCATCCCTAAATCACGCAGCCCCGGCTGGGTTGGTCTCCATCCAGTTCTCTACCACATGCTCATTTG